CACCGTTGGAAGTGAACCCGTCAGGGGGGTTTTAAGGGTTATGCTGCAGGGTTAAGGCATCAACTGTTACGGGATTAAGGGTCTAGGGGTTAGGGTTTAGGGTTTAAGGTTGAATTCAAGAGTTTTAAGGGGTGAAGGGTTTAGGGTGAAGGTTGCAGGGTTTAGGGTTGAATTGCGGGCACAGACAGCATCAGATTTAAAGCTTGCATATCCCGCTATTTTGGGAAACCACCATTTTGCTTTATGCGAACATAGGCAGTGATATCCAAGTCCACATTTGTGAAATTCACGGATTTTTTGGGACATCCAACATACTAGGGCCCATCCAATAAGAGGGACCCACAAAGGGAGCATAGTTTTGACAAACGACAATCGTTACAACCCCCTATAAATCCTTATATTATAACCCTAGTTTCCATGTCATATTCGATTTTCTCATTTGATCTATAGTGCGGGTAAAACATCCTTGAACCTTATATCATCCGGATGTCATCCCGACATACCCTTACGTAGCCCCTGTATACTATATGATCCCCACATCATCAGAAATGGATTAGGAGGACCTCCCACCCTGTAATCGTGGTACAATAGGAAGGTACGAGGACCCTCTTATAGCCACTATTACTGCCGCGGGGGGTTCACCCTAAACCGTATAAACCCTGTGAAGCCTATAATGCCTATAAGCCCTACTATACCCTAGTATCCCTGATAGCCACTATTACTGATTTTTTGGTTGCCAGGCACCTCCAAACAGCGAAGGCCAACCTCGCAACTTCCACGGAGCAGCTGAGCACTCGAGGCAGGATCATTCCTGTCCGGCCCCCTTCTTTAGGTTATACAGGCTTATACGGATATGATTTAGGGCTTAGGATTTAGGGTTGAGGGTTCAGGGTTTAAGGTTTAGGGGCTAAATTCCTTAAAGGTTATATGGGCGACTCTGTAGGGGCTGCTAAGGGGATACTAGGAGTTCAGACTATAGTTGCTCTAGGTTTTATACGGAGATGTAGGGACATGTATGATAGACAGCATTAGATGGATGTATACGGACATGCAGGCATCTCAAGTTGAAAGTTGCTTTGGGTTTGGGGCTTCTCCATGTCATATAGATGCGCCGATACCGTGTACCTGAGCCCAGTACAGATCAAAATGTGATCTTCTAAATGTTCCTGAACAGCACCCGAATCCTTCGAAACCATGACTTTTTCAAGAGCTTCGGGGCCAAGAATTTAGGAGATCGCAAAAAGAATTGACGTGTAATGTTCAGTGATGAGGGTTTTGGCGGGCCTTGGTACCCACCCGCGAACCCCTTCAGTGAGGACCCTTCAGGGTCATGTGATGGTCGAAGGGGCCTTGTGGGGGTTGTGGTAACTAAGATCACCTTGAATAAGCTATGTTGCAAGATGTGAAACATCAGAAGGACATTAGGGCTGATGAGGGCAGGTGCAGTGGGATGCATCTGGGAAAGCTAAGTCGATGAAGCCACAGAATGGCCTTTCGTTGTCTGCCAGCATAGTTGTGTGCGCGACCATCCTGACAAAGCAGTACGCATGGTAGTTGTGAGGGGTAACAGTTGGAAATCTCTTGGTGTGTTTGGTGGAGGGGAATCCTTGTACGTTGTGACTACCTCAAGGCCGGCATTGCAACGCAGCTGTCTTACGGGTGGCTGCGGGTCAGCGCGAACGGCCCCACCATCCTTTACCTATGATGCTCCGCGCAAGGCGACAACCATAGCTGCCGACCGAGGCACTGGGTACAGACGGCACAGATGATGCTGAGTGCACACGAGCAGTTTTCACCTGGCTCTTTGCCTATGGAAATTATGATCCCAGAATTTCTGGACTGCACTTTGGCAGTTGCTTGCAGAGCTTTGACAGTTGCACTTGTACTGACCGATCTGTTAATTACAAGGTAGGTTGAAGAAGTAGAGTACTTTGCTTCTTGGTGTTTGACGGTTGCAAGCCCTTTAAAAGTACAGAGCCAGTTATCTTATGGCAGTCTCCAGGCACAGGGCCCGAGCATGGAGACTGGCAATTCTTCCGAAATGCTTTCAGGGAAGTGTCTGAGTTCACTACGGCTCGTACGCCAGAGGAGGAGAGGCGGCCAGCCTTCCCAATGCTGCAACCAGAGCTAGCCCGTGAAGCACAAAGACTGCACCAAAAGTGGTATGATATGCTGACCACATCTTTGGACGATTATCCCCCTGGTGCAGTCTCGTTTTATCATAGCTGCCACTTCCATGAGCAGTCTGAATACTGCCTCTATGGCCACGTGGCTGTCCTCACCTACTTGGCCAAGTATACCGCTGACGAGAATGAATCGCTGAACTTCGCTCGGCATGCCATGAGACTGCTCCATTGGAACCACTGCCTTGATCCTGGGTTGCTGTTGAACTTAAATTATAAGTTACTATGATAAGGGCACATAGGGTATATAGGGTTTAGAGTAACTATAACACAATCAAAAAAGGAAGCCCGAGTATTCACCATGTTCCCATATTATGGCTTCCTCAACAGTAAGGTGCTGCATGTTACTGCAATAAGGAACCCCTATTACTTACTAGAACCCCATATTATGGTAACTAAGTTTGAGTTCCTTAACACCCTAACCCCCCAAAAAAAACAATGCCAAAACCCTTAACCCTTAACCCTTAACAGCAGCCCAGGATTTCATTGAATCCTCAACCTGGGCATCCTGGGGGTTCTCGCTTCTAACGATCTGGGACTTGGTGCAAGAGTTTGCCTATCCGCAGGTGGGGGGTTTAGGGTTTTAGGATTTAGGGTTTAGGGTCTAGGGGTTTAGGGTTAGGGTTGGGGGTGGTTCCCAAAATGCTTGGAGGGTCAGGGGGACTAAGTGAGTAGGTTAATTATGGGGATGGGGATATTCAGGGTTACTATACGGGTATAGGGTTTAGGTCTTTGGGTTTCAAGGCTGTGGGATCAAGGGCCAATATAGTAATGTAGACCCATGATTCATAAGCCCCCTCCTTTTAAGGGCCTTTATATTAGGATCCCTATTATAGTTCCTACTAATGGGAGGGGTTTATTAATCAAGGGTCCCAAAGTAAGGGTCCCTTGTTGGTACCCCTAAATGGTAGGTGCCGTGATAGAATCTATAATAAAAGGGATCCCATAATTTTGAGAACTAAACAGGTCTCCACTCTTCACCATTACCTGGATTGGGGCCCGGGGACTGTCCCACCAGCAACACTGACATCGGAGAGACGGGATGTGGAGGAATCTTCGGCAGGGTTTTGGGTCTTGGAACTTGGTACTCACAAGGCGCTCTCCAACGAACCGATGTCCCTGCTACGACGAACACTCGGGAACTACGAGATGGCCTACCAGAGTCTGGGTTGCTGTTTTGGAAATGAAGTTAAGTTACTACATGTGACTGACACTAACCGAGTTTACGTTAATTAACAGCAACCCAGGAATCTGATCAAGCCATATGAAGGCCGGGCTGAGGCGTTCATCCATCCTTTCCCGCGGTCCTGCAGCCCAAACTGTCCTCACCAGCGGCTTGGCGTGATGCATTCATGTCGGATTATTGGCGTTTTGACTTGGATGCGACCTATGCCCTATGTAATCCCTATACGTCCCTCATTTAATCCCGTTTTCATCCCTATACTCGAAAACCATTTTAGTTCTCTCAGCATACCAAGACTCCCCTTTCCCTCAAGGCAAGACAGCGTTCCTTACACCTTCCCGGTCTTCGAGGACATGGACACATCAAGGAGAGGCTTCCAGAAGTGGGTTCAAGACAACTACTTGAACAAGGCAGAAATCCGGAAAGCCAGCCTCTTTGTCTGTACCAACCCAATCTACTACTGTAACTGGGTTGCTGTTAAGGAACTGAATTTAAGTTACTATTTTGGGGACACCATATTACTATAAATTACCCAATAAAGTAACTTTATATTCAGTTTCCTAGCAGCAACCCAGGTAATTTCTTCGTCGGGCTCAATAAGACCATCCTTGGCTACTTTGGATTGCCTCTACTGTATATGGTGCCCACAGACAGTTGGTCGAGGTTGGAACTGGCAAAGGTCAGGGATTATAATATAGGGGGTAGTATATAGGGATAACGGAAAAGAAATAGGAAACTATAGGGATCCTCTAGGGGTGATATAGGGTTTATAGGGTATATATTGGGGTATTATATATGGACAATGGAAAAGAAAATGGAAGCTACTATGTCATATATTGGGGTGATGGTATTGGGGAAGTCTAATTGCATGATTGCGTTTTTTTGTCTGTTCAGCATGGAACAAGGATCCCAAGGTTGTGTAGATGTAGAAGGGACTTGCTCTTGGAGGCAGCCCTGTACTCTAAATCCTAAATAGTTGTTTCAATTTTCTTTTCCATTATCCCTACATAACCCTATATAAAGCCCTATATTATCACCCTGAACCCTATAAACCCTAACCCTAAACGCAGCCCCTGGCAGTTGGGTGGACGATTTCATCAACCTGGCCTCTTTGCCCACGAGCTTCGGTTGCTGTTAGGGAACTTACTTTAAGTTACTGTATTGGGTACATCTAGTAATTCATATGTTTTCCCCAACATATTGAAAGCCCTTTTTTCCCCAGTTTCCATTTCATTTTCCATTTTCTTGTCCATGGGGGTAATATAGTAACTTAAATTAAGTTCCTTAACAGCAACCCAGGAGCTTCTTCGTTTCCAACAATCGGCTACACTCTGAACAGGTCAAGTGGCAGAGCGGAGTTCGATTGCCGGTGCTGCAGCCGGTGGCTCTCTACTTGACTGAGGTGGGTGGTTGTCAAAATTATGGGCCCTTTTTAGATCCCCATTATAATACGGCCCCGAATTTTTAGAGTACCCAAAAAAGGGACCATAATTTTGACAACCACCCAGGTCTACAATCCCAGGAGGATGGAAGATATCCTGCTGCCTGAGCCTCGTGAAGGTTGCGTCCTACACTGCCTGTTCCGGGCGTTTAAGCCCGACAGCTATCCGTTCAACTTCTTCTCGAAAGCCGACACGGATCGAACGATCAGAACGTTTGCAACGTTCAGAGCTGTAGTCCTCTTCCCGCATGATTTTGCTTTAATGACGTTCTATGAATTCTACGCCATGAGCGTGCCCTTGTTCATGCCATCGCATTTATCCAAGTATCTGTTTCCTTTCTCCGCTTCTGTCCCGCTGCTAGATTGGACTCCGAAGAGGAAAGCCAGAAGAGTCGATGATCCGCCCTTTTCCCCTCTGAGCCTGACGACTTCTGCAGCCCTGCGCTTTTGGGCAAGCTCCATTGACTTCTTCGCGCTGCCCGGGGTTCAGCACTTTGAAAGCATTGCAGGCCTTCTGAGCATGCTGCCGTTGGCAGATTTTGAATCAATGAGCCGCCAGACGAGGGAGAACCGTCAGACACGGATTGAAAGCGGTGCTGCCTTCTGGTCATCGGTGGCATCGTCAGCGCTTCGTGATGGACTTATGCTGCAAGGCGAACGAGGGTGATGAGAAGCTGATGCGGTCGAAGAGATGGGAGGCGACACAGCCACAGCACACCATTGAGCGTTGAGGATCCTGCTGCGTGTCCTGACAAAGGAGCCTCCACAGTGCGGCTTTGGCAGCCGACAGCTGACATCTTCATAGCGGGCCATCTTGGAGAAGACGTGAAGAGAGCTGTGCCGGCCACGCTCAGCATGGCGTTTCGCCTCAAAGATCCGGCGACAGGCTGTGGGTGCAACAGGGCCAGAGACACATGCTGGGGCCAAATGGGCCGATAGGTTGCGTGCAGGAGACTGAGGGGAAAAGCGCGCAAGGTTGCCAGGTCCAGCAGCGGTTTCTAGCTCATTGACAGTTTGATATGTCTGAAGTGGCCCTTTTTGACGTTTCTCAGGAACCCAGACCCCTGATGAATAAGCCCCCTCCCCTTAATAGGGATTATAATGGGGATCCCAAGATTAGGGCCCTTAAAAGGAGGGGGTTTATTCATCATGGGTTTACATTACCATATCAGCCTTGACCCTTCACCCTGAAGCCATGAGACCTAACCCCTGTAACCCATATAGTAACCCCAAAGGTCCCAATCATTAACCTATTTACTTAGTCCCCCTGAATTAATGGGTCTACATTAGGTGGACCCCTCACCCCGTAATAGTGACTATAAGGAGTAGTAAGGATTATATTAGGGTCCTCTTGTATTCCTGTTATACCACTATTACATGGTGGGCGGTCCTCCTGAGCTGTACTCAATACCCTAAATCCTAAACCCTAATCTACATTAGGTCTGCATTATGCAGGCTGCCTGGCCAGCCTCCTTGAAGATGTGGCCAAGCGCCTGGACGCCGTTGGCGCCCGCCTTCAGGCTGCGAGTAACCTGTCCAAATCATTCCGTTGCGTCTAAGACATATAGGGTAGTACATTATTGGGGTTATAGGGATAATGGACAAGAAAATGGAAACTACCATAGAATTATAGGGTTTATACATATAGGGGTTATATCGGGATAATAGAAAAGAAAATGGGAACCACTATATTATCATGGGGTATGTATGGGGGTTAGAGTCCCCCTTAATTAAGAAGACCGAACATTGGGTATATGGGGATCTTATTCAAATATACCCAAAGCCATATTCTATCTACTTAAGGGGGGGCTATAGAGCTGAGAATGTCTCTGTGCAGCAGGCATGGCTTGAACGTACATGTTAAGCTTGGCAGCACTGACTGAACTTTCATGGCTTTTCTGCGCGCTGCCATTTAAGACCCTGAAACCGAACCCGGCAACCTTCGGGTATCCATGGCAACGCGCGATGTTCTCGTTAATGGCGTTGTCTTTTCATTTTGGATAGCGTTTGTATGTGGCAGCCTTGCTGCAGCTGAACTCCTTTCGCTGACTGCTGCCCCGGATGAGGCCGCAGATGCGGAGGTGGGTGTTTCTCAAGATGCACCTTATACTTTGAGGGACCCTGGAGTGATGGTGGGCCTCCACAGTTTGTCTGTAGGCCTTCAGTACTGAAAGAGTCTCCGGAGCCCGCTATTTTCAGATATGCGCTACCTCGTACCCCAGGTGATGGTCCAGCTGCTGCAGACAAAGTCCAGCCTAGGAGGAAACTCTGCGAATGACCGCCGTTTTGCTTGCTCTGGCGGGTATGGACCTGGTATGCACGTGGTACAGCTCCATAGCATCCAGAGGCAGTTCCTCTTTCTGGTGCCCCCTGAGTTAGCAACTTGATGCAACTAGCCGCGCTTTTGCCTCCTGATTTTGAGTTTTTTTCGATGTCTCCTAATTCCTCCAGACTTATGTAAACTTACTGGTTCTTGTAGGGAATAAAGGAATACAATCCTTGTATCTTCCGAATGTATCGTATTCCGCTACTCTATTCCTAAACCCTAAACCCTGAACCCCCGGTAAGTAGAAGGTTCACGGAACCTCCGGGGTTCCGCTGGTGATGTCCTTTCACGGCACCTACGAAAATCCCTGGTTCCACGAAACCGGGTTGCTGTTGAGGAGTTTAGGGTTTAGGGTTTGATACCTTAAATTCCCATATTCTGGGTACATAGGACCCTAAACCCTAAATCCCGTATTATGATTCAAGATGATTTGGTAGTTTCCCCAAACAAGGGGACCCCAATGTACACCCCAATATACTATGATCCTTATTATGGGCACCCCTAAAATGGTACCCCTAATTTTAGGAAACCCCAACCCTAAACCCTATAGAACCCCTTTAAACCCTTATCAAAGTAAAGTTCCTTAACGGCAACCCAGGAAAAGGAGCTTGGCCTGTTGGAGGAGCTCCAGCGCTACGGATTCTGAGCTGCCGTTTCAGGGCTTACTGGGATAATGGGGAATGGGTTTAGGGTTTAGAGTTTAGGGTTTAGGGTTTAGGGTTAATGGAATTGTACGAAAACGGAAACTATGATTGAGGGTTGCAGTTTAGGCATCATGTCTTGCTGCTATGGAACTTGCTTGAGTTCGCCTAACGCAGATAGCAGAAACTGGGATTCTAGATGGGCTGTACGTACACAAGTGACATACAATGGTACCCAAAATAGAGTACAGCAAGGTTATATCCTCCTTTTAGGTAGTGTATATTATATACAGTATCTAATCTGACTTGGTTCAACCACAAAAAAACGCCACTTATTTTGAGCGCCTTACCAGCAACCCACTAAACCCTAAACCCTAAAACCCTAACCCCTAAAACCCTAAACCCTAAAGCCCAGGATGGCTAGGAATCCTTCCCTGGGGGACCTTCCTGACGAATGGCACTGGCATGGGCGGTGTTCGGGAATGCTGCTCCAGTTATTGTGATTCTGATGAATGCTGCATGCAGGGGAGATACGTAACTCTGGTAAATGAGACCTGCTCTTTCTGGCCCGGTCTATGGGACAGGGATTACCTCTTTGTCGATGCGATTTGGCAGTGGCTGGAGGATCAGACATGTGTCGACAGAAATAAGGCCGGTGTGCACGTGTGAGATTTGACTATCTGGCATCTACTCATAGCATGTTACATGTCTTGCTGCTCTCTTCCTGACCAGGTGTTCGTTTCCGGCTTCAGTCTCGGCGGTGCGTTAGCCCTGAACATGGCCTGCAAACGTAGCCAGTACTTCCTTGCCGCTGCACCCATTGAACCAGCCGGGCCATTGTTTGATCCCGATTGTCCTTTGGCAAGGCCGCGGGGAGTTGTAGAGTCGCCTACTTGCTTCAAAACATAGGGCACGCCTTTCGCACAGCAGAGCGCGCACGAGAAGTTTTATAGACACTCTGACGCCAGGCCTGTGTCCACGTTGTCCTCTGCTGGGACGTCGGATGTAAATGTTGACCGCAGCAGTCTCGCTGCCCTCGTAGAGCGCCGCGCCTGGCATGGTGGTTGTAAAGACAGCGCAGTAGAACGCCTGTCAGCCACTGTCGCTTGGCTGCAAGATCCGGGGCGATGGTTTATCTGAGGAGTCTCTGGGCAGCGCTGCGAGAAAACTTAGGTCAACTGCACGATCTGGTCACAATGCGACAGTGGTCGCCTTTTTGAGAACTGTCTGATTGATGGTCTTGCTCACAACGTCCCTAGCAAGCTGAAGCCAGACCAGTCCACCTTCATACGGCCTGAATCTGATGTTGATTGGACCAAGCGCACCTTTGAACGATTCTCACTGCTGGTGGATCGCAGTGACCTCCTCTTCTATGGCCACCCAACAGTGGAGGAGCTGCAATATAAGGAAAGTATGTGGCCTCCACCAAAGTTGTATGACCACCAGTACATACGAAACCCAAGCCTTGCTTGACATCGGCGTGATGGGTGCAAAGAATCCGTTCCAAGCAATGTGCAAGTAGCCGTTGGTAAGCAGAACGATGCAGACATGTGTGCAAGCTTTAGTGAAAAATCAATTGGAGTTTCCATAGATGGGGATCCCCCACTGAAGTAGGCCGCAACATACCCTCATTTTAGGGAACCCCAAGAAGGGTCCTTAATCCACGCAAAACAAGCTTGAATCTCCCCTAAGACCTGAAGCAATCTGGTTGATTGCCAGGCACTTCCCTGCAATGAGCCCGCCAGGCGAGTATTGAAGGGATCGCGTGGGTTTAGGGTTTACGGTAGTTGTCAAGACAGCCGGGAACCTCCCAAAAATGCCTAAATCCGAAGCCCTAAACCCTAAAACCCTAAACCCTAAAACCTTAAAACCCTAAACCCATAATCTGGGGATACTGGAATCGCCAAGGGATGGCACAGGGTTCTTCTGGCCTGCTGCTAGGCTACCAGCTGATGCCCTAGACCAGGCATCAGTCCAGTCTGCAACAAGCCCAGCACGATTTTCTTGCTGTTGTTTAGTAGGTGATGAGGGGAATGTCATAAAGGTAATATAGGTATAGCGGAAAAGAAAATGATAGTACTACAGTAAAGTAGTGAATATAGTGGGGCTTATACGGAATCATGGAAAAGAAAATGGAAACTATAGGGAACCAGGGGGGAAATTGGTGTTACAGTAGGAATATGGCAATATACGCTGTAGGGATTCTATAAGGACTATTTCCCCTTATTCCCTACTGACAACTAGTAAGTTTTGTGACAACCAGGTTTATCGCAAAGCTTCATGATCTGTCAGTCCTGTAGGTTTTGCCACCCAAGACTGCCGACGCAGGACAGTCTCACCAAGCCAGTGTGTCCCACGAAAGCGAGTTGCCAAGTGGACATTCCAGGATTCCACCCTGAACCTGTCTGCCAAACAAGTCTCGGCAGAAAGCTCAGACTGGCATAGTGACCCTGGCGCGCAACCGGAAGAGTCTAAGCTTGAAACCATGGGCCCTTAAGTCTGGGATCCTCATATACTTACTATATACCCTTTTTGTCGCCTCGAGGGCCCCGAGACTCCCCTAAAAAAACCTAAGGGCCCATAAAAGGGGCCCATACTTCTAACCTTAGAGGCATCCGGAGTGAAGCGAAGCAAGCTTTGCGTCATTTCATGATTGCGCAGATGCGCGGCTCGCCTGTTAAGGCTTCCGGTCGCCGATCTTGCAGCTGAGTCCGCAAGAGCAGGCCTTCTTGTGAGGAGCCATGATAGTAATAATAATAAAGCTATTTGTAATATGAGCTATAGTCTAAACTCCTTAAAGGGGGATATATAGGGGATTATATAGGGACTACTATAAGGGTTATTAAGGGGGATACGAGGAGTTTAGACAATGGCTCATATGATAAGAACAAGGAGATAA